ATCACGCGCGTTCCATCAGAATGGAGAGAGAGAGAGAGAGAGAGAGAGAGAGAGAGACTGGAAGTTATTCCCTAAAACCGAGATCTCCTCGGTCTCGAACACGAGCGTTCGATGATATTTGTACGCTCGGCGATCGCCCCCCCTTTCTCCTACGTCTTCTCTCCTGATATGGACGTCCGTATCGGTTCGTTCGGTTACCAAACTGGACATAAATTAATCCCGTCAAACGTCCTCGTTCGTTAACCGGCCCGGGACTCTCGACAGTCCCCGTGCTTCTCTGCGCGCTGCGCGCCGCTAAGCAAGGTTAATCTTAACTTATAGGTATGGGGCTTGCGTAAGCCTGTCTCGTTCTGCCATCCGATCGCTTCTCCTCGAGCTTTCTCCGCTCCTCTGGCGACACGAAATTCGAGCGACGTCGACGAGCACGACTCTGTCCCACTGGCGATTCACCGGCTAGGAAATGGCGCGGCGAATGGACGCGAGTATGGGAATAGTCGGCGGGCAAAGAGCGCAAAGAGCGCAAAGAGCGCAAAGAGTGCGACCGAGAGGCAAACGTCCGGCGGGAAGGGTATACGAAAGCATCTGGGTCGAGGGAAGCGTTCTCGATGTTTAAACCCGGTCTGACTTTCCCGTCAAACGGAGCGACGTATCGACGCTAAGCCAAGGTTTAAGTCTCGACTTAAATCCGATGCGAAAGTGATGCAACCGGCCGCAGCTGCTCGATTACCGTTTTACCCAAAGTACGTCTAAGGATGCCGCGCGTTACCGGTTCCATGGGACAAGCCTTATCCGGCGATCAATCGCGATCGCCCTCGATCGATCCATCCATCGATCCGTCGTTCGGTCGCGTCGCCGAACGACTGTCCCCGCTAATGACTGCGCGGATCCTTTCGAAAAAACCTACCTCCCGGCTCGCGGGGATTCGCTAGCAACGAACGCCAGACAGTCGGAACGCGACGCGGTCGGACGCGTTTCGCCTTTTTCCGAGCCTGTCGGTCGCCGTGTCGCGTCGTTCCACGGCTGTCCAGCCGTTTCGCGAGCAAACTCCACGCGAAGGACGGATACCCCAAGGTCGGGGTCTCCGTGGGACCAACCGCGAAACCCGAAACGTTAACTGCACCCCGAACTATCGTTTCCTTTCCTCTCCTTTCCTTTCGAATCAACCACGCCGTCCATCGCGCATGGGGAGAGCTTTACATCCCCCGTGCGGTATACTCGGCTCCGAGTGATCGCGTCGGCTATAAAACGATACTGCTCCGCTTACCGCGAGAGAAAGCATATTGCCGTTATCGTCGAATTAAGCCTACCCGCGAAAGAGGGTGCCGCCTTTTCGAGGGACGCTCGCTACCCGTCCTTCTCCGAGCGTCGTCGCGATTCGCTCTCGGCCACCTATGGATATCTCGCGGATTACCGTGGAAAATTTCCGCTCTCGTCGTCACGCGGAGAAAAAGCACGCGGAGAAAAGGGGAAGGAAATATCGGGCGAATCGGTCGACGCCGGCACTTTCAGCCCTTCGTGATCGTCGTGCCGCTGGATTCGAGCTATTCCGCTAACTCCCCGAGGTTCCGCTACGGCGGGGTGTCTCGCGATTTATGCAAAATGGTACGCAGCTCCCGAGGGAGCTTGCCAGCAACGCCGTTCGACCCTCTTCCGTATAACGCGTGCGAGGTTCGTGCCGCGGCAGGCCCCTCGATCCCG